CAGACTCTCATGCTTGTCTCCTACAACCAATATCCTGCACAACCACATTCAAATGTGGCCTGTAACAAAGTGTCCTTAAAAATGCTGGCTGTTCTCAGTGCCCCAACACCAACAACACTGGATGTTTTAGCAGCAGTTCTGGTCAGAGGCTGGGAACTCTGACACATGTGAAGGAGCACACAGGGGTTTTGCCACAGCAGCTTCTGTGTTGCTGTCACAGGACTGACAGTCATTTACAGCTGTGAAGATTTGTTTTTAAATAGGTTTTCTGTGTAACCATGAAGAAAGCAACCTACTAGAGTTTTAAGCTTTGATTTCACCTCTTCTCAGTGAGCTCCTCTCCTTTGTCAATGAGTAGAGCCATGCTCGTGCCTTCCAGTAATCTGTAGCTGACTGGCTCAGCTCCTGAAGATAAGACAGAATAAATAATGATGACATCTTATTTCTTGCAGCTATCCAGGGGGAAAAAAAAGGTGCTTTCGTCAAGTTGCTAAACATCTAGTGACTGAATAACAGAGTATCAGCATAATCGATAAGATAAGGAGGCACAGAAAAAGGAGTCCTACTGATGCTCTCTTTGGTTTCTGGACTAACAAAGAAAGCAGTGTGAAATTCTGTCTGTGGGACAGATCTCAACAGAACTCTGTGCCTGTTAGCCCCAGAGTGGTCACCCAGAAGTTCCTTGGGCTGCAGATCACAGCCTCCTGCCTGGGGTGTCCCCTTGCCCCTCTGTGATATGCCCCTCTGCCAGCCCTCTTCACGGTCTTGCTGCCCAGCTCTGAGTGTCCTGTGGCCCCACACTCAGCAGCAGGCTTGGTGGGAGGGCAGACCAGGGGAGGGTCTTTGGAGGAGGATCAGGACTGCCAGGCAGGGCTGGCTCCTTGCCTCTGATTCCTATTCCTCTTCCCCATGTTGCACCAACTTTTGCCTTTTGTCCAACATTGATCCACAAGGTTTGAAACACTTGGCAGAGCTCACCAACTGACTGCAAAGGGGTGTTTTGGGGGGGTGTTTTCTTTCCAAAACATCAGTTTTTCACCTACCATAAGCCTCAGGAAAGGGATGGCCACATCCTTGCCAGGAGGAGTACAAAGGGCAGATGTAAACTCTGTCCTCTGGGGTCTGCTTGGGATCACTGTTACACATTTGCTCACCTGTTCTTTCCCTTGATTTTCTTCAATGTTTCACAGGTCCACAGTACACTTGGACACAGTACACTTGGACACATATACTGTGTACTCAATCTCTGTTCTCACAGTTCCTAGTTATTCCTAGTTAAACAGCGCCAAACTGTTTTCACCCAGCTCCCAGGTCTGTAAAGCTTTGATGACCAGTGACTGACCACTGGCAAGATGATTTCAGCTCTGTGGTGTTCAGCATCATCCTCTGCTTGTACTCTCCAGTTCCCTGCTATCATTCCACCATGTCTGTGTACCTTCATTTTTCATTGTAGGCCACAGGCACTTAATTCTAGGCAGAACTCATTGTTCTTAATATCTCCTGGTTACATAAATATCTGAATACAATCGTCCAAAGCTAAGGGAAAATTTAAACTAAGTGGGTAATAGCACCTAATTGCCGGATAGTTACTGTTACACAAAAAGTAGCTAAAATAAAACCCTAGGTACGCCTGGGCAGGTCCAAGCCCAGCCTAACAAGTGCAAAGAATCAAGGCCTGTACTGTTAGTTTAACAAAAAGCAGGGAACTCACTGTGTTACAAGAAATACCAGCACGGCTGTATTTGCAAAGTTAGAGGTTTTAGTGACCAGTATCTTTCCTCCTGCTGAGCAAGAGCTATCAGATCACACCTGCCTGAAGCGTGAATAGGGCATCTCTCCCCTGACTCCTCTTTGACGGAGGCTGAAGGGCGTGGGGTGGGAAGTGAGGGGACTTTTGGTTCCCTCCCTCCAGGTACAGCCTCAGTGATGGTGAGGGAAGAGCAAACCCCTGAGTGCCTGCTTCAACAAGCAGTGTGTGAGCCCAGGAGTGTGTGGCAGCCTCGGGATGGGCCGTTCAGAGAACCTGGAGGCTGCTGCCCATGGCATTGCCGGGGTGCAGTCACTGAAACAGGGCTGGCACCCGGCCCAGTGACAGGCAGGTCACCCAAACCTGGGATGACCAGAAGCACAGCCGTCAGTTCCATTCCTTGCACTCTATAGCTGTATCAGCTGTTTCAATGGCTAATGAACCTGGTCACTAATTGTCCCTGAGATGTGTCTCTGGCTCATTTACATTCCCACACTGCCCATCACCGCAAATGGCAACAGCCTAGTGACCTGAAGCCCTGCCTTCCTCGCTGTGCTGTAAGTGCCCTGGAGGTGTTTTGTGGAAGGCAGGGGACCCCGTTCCTTCCTGCCCTCCATTTTTTGGGCAGGAGAGAGGAGGGCCTGCTGGCGGGGCCGGCGCCACAGCTGAGGCGGCAGCATTCCCTCCTGCGTGAACAAACGGCGCCGGCGAGTGGGAGGGACGAAATGTTAGCCTGCAGGAGGGAGAGTGGGAGGCTGCGAAAAGGAGCTGCTCCGGAGAGGAAATGGGAAGAGTGAGTGTAATGAGGAAAACCTGCTTTGTTGCTTGCAGCGACGAGAGCAGGATTAAGAGAGTAGGACTTGGTGGATGGGGGGAGACATGAGAAGGGGCTACATAACCAGCAGCACAGTATGGATGTAGGCAGGGAGCAAGCTGTCTGCTGCTCTTTTGTGCTAAGTGTGGTGCCTGCCTCTTCTCAGCACTGTCTCTGGCAAATCCCGCAGTGGAAAACCACAGCATGGTGTCAGTACAGCAGGAACTATTGCCTGATGAAGCAAGTCTAGCAAACGGCTCCTGGACACCGAGTGATGGGCAGAAAATCCCGTGTGGGAGCGGCAGGCGCCCCTCCGCACACCGCTGCCACCTTGTCCTCCCACGGCTGGCACCGCTCGGTGTCCCTGTAATCTCCCCACACATTTACAGACACGCAGAGATCGGCTAAGAAAGAGATGCAGTGAGAGGAGAGACACAAACCGAGAAGTGCCGGCTCTTCGCAGCAGCCCAGCTGCTCCTGTGCCTCCCTCCTGCTGCCCCGTGGGCTCTGCTCCCTGGAATGTGTGAGGGAAACACAATTCCAGCATGCTTGCGAAGGGGGCACGTCTGTGAGGGCACCAAGGCACTAACGGTAGGAAGGGAAGGAATTTCCTTCCAAAAATAAGGATTAACAGCCTGCAAAAGCTGATTGAGCTTAGGTGAGAAATTCTCTTCAATTTTCTACCAGAACCACATGGGGGACAACTTTCCTCCTACTATGCTATATTTTTATCTTTATGTCTTCATCCACTTGAAAGTGGTTTACAAAGGAGCAAGGAATATTTAATTCACCTGTGGCCTCTGTTTCTTCCACACTTCTTGATGTCAACTGAGAATCACCCTACTGAAATCAGTTATTTTCATTTTTTTAACTGCAACTTTAGGGAATTAAATTAATAATAAGGATCTCGCCTCTTTGAGCTCTCTACCCCCTAAAGGTTTTACTGTGGCTTTACTGGATGCCCGTTGTTTAGCAGGAGTGATAACAGCTGAAATTGACCCCACTGAGGTTGCACCCTCCTGTATTTAAGAGCGATGAAAAGCCTGCAGTCAGGTGGGGATTTTGTTAATTACTGCTGTGTGGGCAGAGGGCTACAAAGGCACCCAAACAGAGGAGTATGCAGGAATGTGCCAGAAAAGTACATGGATTTCTGTCACTGAGAGTCCTGCCTTCGATACTATGAGTTGTTGATATATTCATCTATAATGAGACTGTATTTAGCCAAAAAACACCTTCAAGCATCCTGTTAGCAGAGGGTATTCACTAGGAACACAGAGCAGAAAGGGAGCTTTCCTTTAGACTGCAGCAGGGGAGACAATGCTTTGCACCACACTAATAAAATCACACTTGCTCTTAATTTCACAGCAAGCACACAAGAACTTGCTGAGGTTGTGTTGGCTTCCCAAGCCTTTGACTGCTCCCAGCATCATTGGCAATGACATGACACCATTTCATTTCTTCCCAAACCCCACAACTTTAGGGAAACAGAGCCAATTGTACTCCCTCCGATCCCAGTTTCCAAAGCAAGTCCATTGAAAGTGGTTCCCAGCCAGCCTCCAAGCTGCCCTATGTTCTACCTAGGTGCCTGACACCCCCACCTGGGTCAGATGATTTGCTTATTGCATGCTCCTGACTTACATCTTTGGTAAAAGGACAAAAGCATTTGAAAGATCTCTAATTTTCCTGAGTCTCCTTTTAGGTTTTCCACAAATCTCTGCTGACAGTATGCTTGAGTAATTGCCATCCAAATACCTCACCTTCCCATTCAGCTACACCCTCCTCCTCACCACTGATGGATACATATGTGAGGAGCCAGTAACTCCATCTAAATCTGTCAAATTGGTAACACGTGGTGAAAATCAGATTCAAGGCAGATTTGATCCTCCTGCTCTCTTTTAAGCTGCAGAAACTCTGGAAAATTTGCTGCTAGATTGATACTAAGAATGATAAAAGATTTCTGGTACAGAAGGCTGTTGAAGGCGGCTTTTCACATTCCCAGTGCTGTCTCCATTAGGAGCTTCACCTTTCTGTGACCCTGCAATGTTAATCCAACTGTTCCCATCTCAGATTTACTTATGGTAAATTGCAACCACTTCTGCTTAGTTTGCAAGAATGTTCATAATTTTACCTCTGACTACCTTGTGCTAAACAGGAGTCTTCCATTGTAATATAAACATTTCTTTCCAAATGCTGGCAAAGCTTAGGTCTTTCCTTGTCTTTCAATCAGGTAAAAAAGGCATTATTTTCTAGCTGAATTTAAAACAATTTCTTCCTTCCTCTTCATGAAATGTCATGGTCAATACCAATAGTTTTTGATGACATAAAATAAAAACTGTTAATAACAAAGAACGATATATGAGCTGGTACAAATGGAAATAAATCATGTCATGCATTTTCACATCTTTAATTAGTAGTAGCAAACAAAATTCATATGTCACTTCAACTAGTTGGGTTAACTATTTTTCCTATGAAGAGTGTACTGTTTGTATCTCTGTCAAAAATCAGCATGAGGAAGGGGTGGCTGAATTCAATGGTTGGAGGAAGAGACATTGGCATTATTTCAACAGCAGTTGCTGCTGCTGCCTCAGTACCTTTCTCATCAACATCCAGAGAAGCCTTGTGGACAACCTAGGAAAAAAGAAAATAGAGTCACTCTGGGCAGTCAACAGCCTCTTGAGAAATTAATCAGAGTCCTTTTAAAGCAGCTCTGCTTTGGGGGATCCACTGAGAAGTGAGTAGAGGCAGAAGACTCTATTGTTGTGGTCATGGCTGCTTAAATGAGGGTTAGGATGGGGCTATGGAAATCTCCTAAAAAAAGTCCAAAATACTGGATGAAGGATAGAGTTCCACCTGCAATTGTGTGTCTGTGCCTCCAAAACTGAGTCTCCAGGGTGAGAAGGACAGGTTGTGCTGTGCCTGGGAGCGTTGGTGGTTATCCTTGAGGAGTCAGGAGTTGATGCTCCTCTCATGTTTCAGATACTGTCCAAAAAAATTTTGGCCAATACTAATCTTGGTAAAAAACAGACATGCAGCAATCTAATCTGATCTCCAGTGTCACCAAGGGCCAATCTCCTTTTGTAGCTTGCAGGCTGAGGCCTGGATGACCCAGCTGCAGGCAAGGTGGGAATCTGGGAGCATCCTGGTGTTCCTGGATGCTACCACTGATGGATTTTCCTGCATGAATGGAAAATACTTACTTTGGAAACCTTCAGATCTGGGGTGCCAGTGATGCCAGAGAGATCTGCCTGGTTGGTGAACACATCCACAATTCCCATCTTCCTAAGGGTGTTACTTATTTCATAGCTCCCAGAAATAGAAAATTTGGGGAAATAGAGGTTCATAGACCTGTTAGGTAGAAGAGAAACACAAAGCGTGGTGAGAAGGATTTTTCAGCAATATAAAGGATGGGGAGAAATCTGTTTAATTCCCATGAGCATCAAATCCCAGGGGTTTGGGCCCTGAATGTACAGTGAGCAGCAATTCAATTGCTGGTGCTTCTCATGGTGATAGAAGCACTATCATACTTAATAATAAAAATAGCAATCATAATAGTATTTATCTGGTGTTTTTTTCAGGAAATCAGAGAGCACTCTGCTAAGTAGAACAGTAGCAAGAGCCCCTCTTTACAGGCAGAGACAAAGGATAGCCCATGATGCTCAGGAAGGTGGAGAGCTGAAAAGAAGTCCTGACAAAGTCTGCCTGGGGAGAAGCGTGGCAAATCCCAGCATTTCAAATCAAATAAGTATTTTTGGCATAACTGGGGCATTTGGCATGTCCCCAGGAAAGGTCTGCTCCCTGCTGCCTGCACATTTGGATTCCATGTCCTCTAATTGTCTTCCTCCTGTGGGCTGGCCATGATCAAGTTTGCCTTTGACTGTGAGCTGTCTGCAGGCAGCTCCTGCTCAGTGTGATTCATCTTGGGTTTCTTTTCACGCCCTGTTCAGGGGTCCTCAGTCACCCACAGCAGTGATTACCCTTTAGGTAGCTCAAGTCTTTTGCTGCTTTGCAACAAAACAGTAGAACAGAAATTGCCATTTGGTTCTCACAGTTTCTCCCATGGAGAACTTATTCCTATATTCATCCTCAATGACCTTGCACCACAAATTCATTTAGATAAGGGTTTTTCTGATATTGCAGCTGAGAATGGTACATTCTAATTTTGATATTTGAGGTATCACGTTATTAGCTCATATTCAGTTTGCTACCCATTATGTTTTTACTAACTGTGCTGGTATTTCTGTGATGATGCACTGTGATAGATGGGTGTGAACTGCACAGCCTTATTAATTGTGAATTAGGGCAGAGCTTGGTAAATTAAGCATGTATTAACTTGTTATTACTCATCTACTGTTGCTAAGATCTCTCCCAGACAAACAAGGTTGTAAAATGCATTAGCTGATGTTGGTGTCAATGGTTGAAGCTAACAGAAACTCGTTAGATATTTATAGTTTCAAAACAAAATGCCAGAAAATCAGGACATCCACAATTAATCACTTAATTTCTAACAACAACTGAATGCTGCAAGATAATTGTGTAGGACATATCATACCTGTAAGCATGATACTACTACAAACTGTGTAATTTATGCTTTATTTAGGGTTCAGACTTATGTCTGAGTCCCAGTGACATAAGAGAGGAAAAACACACTAGCTGAAATCTCAGTATGGAAGATTTGACTTAAAATTGCAACCATTCCTTTCAGTCCGTGGAGTATTTTAGAAACACCAATATATGCTTGCTATTCCTTAGAGAGGAATAGGATGGTCTCTGCTCTGGTTGGGAGAGCAGCAAGTCACTCATCCACCAACAAAAGAATAGTTAAATACCAACCAGCTGCAAGATTTTTACAACTAGGGCACACGAGCCAAAAATAACCCACTCAGTTCCCAGAATCACCACAATCACAGTGTTTGCATTCCCCAAAAAGAAAAAATACTATAAATTAGGTGCCAGTACAGCTGACTGGCAGAAGATTACCTCTGGAAGAGATGGTCTGACCATTTCTGGATGGTTTCCTTGTCCAGAGTTTGCTCTAAACTCTTCATTTCCCCTTTTGCAGGCAGAACCAGAAATGCAGTAGCACTGCCATTATAATGCAGCCGTACCACAGTGCATGACAGCTCCTCATCAAAGTAGAAGTCAAATCTGCCCATCTGGTACATCATAGGGACTTTCACAGTTGTTTCAGCATCCACAAAGAACTCCCTTTCTTCAGTATGCTCTGCTTTGAAAGGCTTTTCCCAGCTGCCTGATACAGAGAAGGAGAATTTAACTGAATATCCAATGTTTTATCTCATCATAGTCTAAGTTTTTTATAGCTAGTAATAATATTCACCTGTTTCTTCATGCATTAAATACTGAATTTTCAAATGTGACACTTTAGAATGTGTATCACATTAATGCAAGGATCTTTTACCTGTTCAAAAAAGTGCATTGTATTCCACTTTCAATTTATGTTTCAGATGCCAGTAATGAAATAATTAGGTGGGGTTTTCTGTACCTACCATGGCTTTTCTGTTCAGGAGATCTATGTGGGCTTTCTGTAAACATCATTTGTGTACTCATATATTGCATGCAATTAATTTCTATTGACTTTAATCATATTTGTAGATAAAATATTGTACGATCTCATATCTGACTGGTGTTATGTCGGGCTTAAGGACACATCTAACCCACATCAGAAATGCACATTGTTTCTGCTTTGTTCCTTAAAATGTTCCCCCCGCCATTTGTCACTAGCTTCTCCCATATATAGATGTTAGTGTGCCTGCATAAAGGACTCTGATAGGGGGAAAAAAGGAGTATGTAGTAAATTAGGCTATTGAATCATGCATAATTTAAAAAGAGGCATGAGGTCATATATGAGTCTAAGTGCCTTCACTGAAAATGAGAAGAATATGGGACAATTGGAGTTACAGTTAAACCCGGGAACACCAGCTCAGGCTGCATGGAAGGCTGTGGCTTGGAACAGAGCTCCTGGAGTGTCACAAAGAGAAACAAGACTGTATGGCCTCCAGCTGCCTGCCCATTATCTGCCTCCTGTTACCCTTGTATCACCTCCACTGTGCCATTAGGGGATCTTCTGGCCTTCAGCAAGGAGCATTGGAAATTTTCCCCAGACCAGTTTTCAGTTGAGATAGGTGACATTAGATTTGTTGACAAGAATGAATAGTGAGAATGTGAACCCTAGAGGAGACTTACCTTTAAAGAAAACAAAGCTAGCCAGAAGCATTACAGTTTGTGGGTCCATGTCCTTGACCAAATTAGTAATTTTCCCATGTGTTTTCCTCTCTATATAATCATTGATCTGCTTTTCAGCTTCTGTGGGTTTGTTAAAGTCAGTTGTAAAAGCATCCAGCTGATACAGAGCCTTGGCATCATCTGAGAACTTTTTTAGGAGTTTCAGCTTCTCTGTTACAAAGATGGCATTCCCCATGTTGAGCTGGACTCCACCCTCAGGATGGTTCAGCATGTGGATTAGGTTGTGGAAGCCTTCATGTATCTCTTTCTCCTGAATCTCTGTAAGGTTGAAGGCGAGTCCTTCCAGGATCTGAGACTTTGTGGCTGATCTGGCCCCGAGGGCCAGCATTGCAAAGGCAGTGGAGATGCTCACAGGAGAGAAGAAAATGTTCTTATTTGGTGCCTCCTGTGCAACCTCCCTAAAAAACTGGAATGCAAAGTCAGCGTTGTTGGGCACAAGTCTGAGGCAAGCCATCGCTTCACCTCCATGATGTATGTGGTGTTTAGGGTCATTTGGGTCATGTCCATTTTGGTCACTGGGTGGGAGCTGACTGTGGGCAACAGTGTGAAACCCAGCCAGCAGCAAACTTAGGTAGAATGTGGTCTTCATGTTCTTGTATTAAAATCCTACAGAAAAAAAAGGACATGATGTTACTGAGGTAAATAATTAATTAAGTAGAAAGAGTTATTCTCTCATTACCACTGAATCAAAAAGTCTTATCTCTTTCTTTTGTCCTCAGTTTCCATGATCTCCAATTCTTGCCAGAATTTTTTTTTTAATTTTCCCAGGCCTCCTGGCAAGTCTCCGCCAAGTCTTTCTGCCACCCCCACCCTAAATACCTGCAAAGACAAAATTCAGCATGGATTAATTGAATACACAGCACCCTCAGCAGGCTGGAGAATGGAGCATGTCCCGTCACAAAACACCTCTTGGCTAATTGCTGAAAGGCTGTGGTGCAACTCTGCTTTTGACATTAATGGTCTGAATAACTCCTTAAAATTTCATCATAGAAGAAGTTTGGTATCTTGTGAGTTAGGGGAGAAAGAGGAAATTCATGCAAGTGAGCAGCAATCAGTAGCTACATGGAAACAGAATCTGAGCAAACAGGCAGGCAGGAGATCTTTAAATAAACTTTTGGTCAGGCTGATAAGGTGTCCCATTTAAAGAAAGGACAAATAATGGGAACTGTTCTTCAGTAGCAAACCACATATAAACACCTACCTCTCTAAGGAATAGGTGAGTTTTTTGCTGAATAGAAAAAATGTTTTAAATAACCTGAAACAACGTGCTGTCTCTTACACAAAACCGTTGGAGTGGGTTCATATTCAGCACAGCAGAAGCAGTCAATGCCATTAACAAAGAACAAGGCCTTATTTTTATCAGCTGCTCCACTGGTCAAAGGGTGAAACGTTTATCAATGTGTTACACTTGGCTGTGGTAGCCACGTTTCATTGCAGAGCTGACACTCTGCACTCTATAAGCGCTTAAAAAGAGACCTTGGAAATGGGGTGTGAATGTCCCAATAGGCCTCATTTCTGAGGAGGAATCTAGGGCAAAGAAATGGTGCAAGAGTTACACAGGGTTTGAGGAGATAATGAGCCAGATTTGCTAAAATTGTGCACAGAGAGACATATTACACCAATTGCACCTTTCATCTCTGGCATGACTCAACTTAAGAGCCTCATCAAAAGTGCTATGCTTATGGTCCTGCTTTCTCTACATCATCAGAGGGAGAAATTTGTATTTGTAGTTGAATATCCACTTATAGACTCATGAGAACAACAAGACATTTTCAAGCTATAATCAAATATTCAAACATTTACATGTTTGTTATAAGTAATTTTAAAAATCAGGCTTATTTGCAATAACAGCATTACTGACAAGTGTAAGAACTGTAATGGTTGGGTTCTTGGTAGCTACATTTTCAATTACTGTACACAGTAGTTTTAAGTTATAGTTTGATCTCTTCTGATTTTGACATTGAAATAATTCTTGATGTATCTAGATAGTTGTATCTCAACAGAAGAGTTCCAGTTCTGAGTTTTAAGAACTATTATCAGTGAGCCAGTGTATTAGTCAGACTTTGAAGACAAATCAACTTCCAAACAAAAACATCAGAGCTAAGCCTAATCTATTTCCACATACCCAGCAGGCTGAGTCAGAAGCTGCCTGTGGATAAATTATTTACTATGAACTATTTACTCAGCTGCAGTCATAATTTATTAAGAAGAACACGAATACCAAAAAAGAGAAAGAATTTCATTTTAAACATAAGTTGCCACCTGTTCTCTATCTCATCACATTTAATATTTATTACAAAATATGACACCTGATAGTTTGGCTTTTCTATATGCCTCAAAATGCCAGTTCTATTCATTTGGAATGCAAAGCAGAAAGGGATTTTAACTGGCTTGACCTCAAAATTATGGTGAAAGAATATAGAATGGTTTTTCTGTAAGGATCCTGTAAAATATTAATTACAGTTTTCTGAAGGCAATTTTCCTTATCCTGATATTTTTTTCTCCATGTAGTTACAACATGTTCACATTTTGTGGTTAATTTATGTACTTTCATGGAATTAATTTCATTTTATTACAGTTCTGAATTCACAGATAATTAAATACAATCTGAATCATCCATCTGTTACTCAGTACTGGCCAATCACAAACAGTCAAGACTCATGAGTCAGACCTCACAAAAAATCCCGATAATGGTTTGTTTTAAAGGCATAAGATTATGAAAGACTGAGCAGCTGTGATTTGTAGAGGTCTTTTTTTGTTGTTAAAGCTTTCAAGATAGAAGTGATCCTCTTCATTTGTCTCTGTTTTGAAACCTAAAGGCACTTCTATGATAAGATTTGCACCCTCTCAACCCAACCTTCAGAATATGAATTGTGGATTGTTATTTCATATTTGATACTTACTATTTCATTTCATGTTATTGTGGCTTCTGGGTTAGCAAGTGATCAACCACTGACAAATTGACAATAGACCATTTCAGCAGGAAACTGAAGGTGCAGATTCTCATATGGTCTTAAAGACTGATGGATTTTCCTATGGAGCATAGTTGCTAATGATTTATTAAAAAGCAAAGGGCTGAGAACCTGTGCTGTAAAGCCTTTAGGAAATTTCCAGACAGGAGGAGTTAAGTTTGCAGAAAGCTCTTTAAGACCTTTACTTTTATAATTTCCAGGAAAAAATCCCAGTTTATCCATCAACATGGCAGTAGGAGTGAAAAGCACTTCAATTCTAGTTCCAAATCTAGTCTGACTTGTTGAATAGCCTGGAAGGAAACCTGTGAACCTCTGCCTCTTTTCTTTGTGTGTGTTACACAGTAACAGTTTATTTGTGGTGTTCAAGAATAGGTGTCTTTAAAGAAGAGCTTTCAATCAAACCAGACAATGATACAAGAGCATACCAGCACTTGGAAGACAGTGTTTGCAGCAATTTATCTGTAATAGACTTGGTGATAACATTTGCTGAATATATTACTTCGTCCCTAGCACAATATGCCCTACCATGCAACTCAGAAAGAAAATGGAGAACACTGGGAATAGCTAAAGTTACCTTAGAATAATTCCACCAGAAAACCTGGGAGTGGGCTGGACTGAGTTTTCTGATTGACAGAACTTGCTTCTTTATGGATATAGGTATTTTGTCCATTTTAGGGCTGATTTCTTTCCCTATGATTGAAGAGGTTCTGGAGACAACTTTCCGCCTTTAGAGTGCCATGTAATATTCCAGGAAATTAATATTCATCCCATACTACTCCCATAAGGGGTCCTCACTGATAATCTAATTTCAGGCAACATGAAAATTTGCCCTACTCAAAAACATATGAAGGCATAAATAGAAAAGCTGTTTGCTCACCAGATGGTGCTGCTTCCCTCCTGATTGTTTCTGAAGAAGGAAATCTGAGAAATTTGTTTCCTGAAAGCACTGTGGGGGCACCAGACACATAAAGTCACAGCACCACAACCACCAGTGGTGTCTGCTGAACTAAATATCAGCTATTTAGAGACTTGTAAAAAGAATCACCCAAGCACACAAAAAAAATCACAAAAGAAAGACTTGACTAGCCAGATGTGTGTGTGAGACCACGACTTCAGAAACCTGGCCAAGCTTCTGAGGTGATGAAGCTTCATAGGTCCAGGCTTTATAGGTCCAGGGCCACCTATTCAAAGGAGCACCACAGACTCACCTGTGCCTTCCTGGCTGGCCAGAAAGCTCTGCTTATTTAATCATATGCACCTGAACAGGTTCAGGGCCTGTTCCAGATGATCATCTAGACATTCACTTCTCTTGTTTTTCAGCGTTTTGATACCTCTATGCCTGAGGCCCTGAGGAGATTGCAAACACAAGCCAAGGCCATTGGACTGTTCAGAGAATCCAACCACTGTGAATATTTCATTAAAAGTAATTCCTTTTGCAGCAGAAATGTGGAAACCTAGTTGCCTAGTTTACATAATCCTTTAGAAATGCATGTGACTCTTCATTCCCAGGGCTGTTTTGTGTTTTTTCTATCTTCTGTGAGCTTAGCATTGGAGAACTCACCCAGAAGTGGCATCACTCACCTCCAAGACTCCTTTTACCTGGAAACAGGTGAACATGAGCTCTCACTCTTCTACCAAGCCACCATGAGTGTTTGTTGTTGAACGAGAGTCACTGCACACACTCAGGGATGAAGCATCACTGACTCCAAGAGAATAAAAAAAGTAGACAAAAAAGAATGAGTGCAGTGGTAAGGATAGAGGGGATTCTCTTCTCTCTGCAAGAACAGATCAGACCAGGTTCTCAGTTTCTACATTCCAGTGTACACCTAACCATAGGCTGGTTTCTGGCTCATTAAAAATGTTGACCTCCCTATGATCTTCTGAACATGTGAAAATCACCAATTTCTCCACTTCCCTCTCAATGGGCCTGATGATTACCTCAATCTAAAACAGTAGTAGACATTAGATACAGCATTCCCTAAGCAATGGTATTTCTTGTAGACCTTCAGTATAAAAATCACCAGAATTACTTAAAAATAAGCACCAATACATTAAAAAATGTTCTAAGCACCCATCTTCAGACTTTTAATGAATCAGGGCCTATTTCTAGCAGGAGGTACATCAGGGAAAGTCCCCCTTTTAGAATTTCTTGGCTCCAGAGACCACCTTGCTTTCTGACAAGACACTCTGCTCTGCTTTTAGATTCTCAATCCTTCCTCCAATGACCTGACAATGTGTGGGCAACTCATTCCCTCAGTTGTGATGCCTATGTCCTTTATATCCAGGTGCCACAATAAAAACCTCATTATATAGAACAGATTTCAGTATAAGATACAACCCTAGAAAAGATTTAAAATGGATTACCTTCAACAAGAGGAGACACTTTTAAAGTCTCTATAGGAAGCAAAAAAAACATCACTACTTACAGCAGCTCCCTAGGATCCTGCTGTCTTCACCAGGACTACTCTGCAGCTCCCTCTCTTATTTATACAGTTGAATAGCATTATGAAAGCAAAACGTCCTCTAGAAAACATTAACCAGGACAGACAAGTGTTATTACTTTAGGAATGGTGCCGAGTAAACAGTGAAGACAATTTTTCTGGGCAGGCACCTGATA